AATTGTTTCCTGATCGTAAATCTACCATTTACTTTTCGCGCAATGTTAATACGCTAAACTTTACATACACCTCGCTCTTTTAGTTCTTGCTCTGTCCCTGTCTACCTCCGAGGCGCTCTCTCCTCACCGCCGCTCCACACACACACACTGCACTTTTGCACGCCCACGCACACATGCACGCCAATAATACATTACTCCTCCATCAGCCAAACATTCATTTATTCACACAGTGTCCACTGGGGGTACACTCTTGAATATAAAATATGTGTTAGAGGGCCATAGACGAGTCCAACGGTGTAGGTTAGACCTCCAGGGGGCGCACGGTTCTCGATGGGCGGGCCTTAAAGCGGGGACGATTCTTACGATAATTAAGCTCATTAAAGGGTCAAATTTATTCGAAATGTCTAAAAACTCAGCACACACCCCTCTAAATACAGACTGAACCAGAATCCAACGTTTCAACCTGTTCGGGCACTCGCTTAGCTACTTAGCTTCCTATTGGCCAAAATGAGTGGGCGCCCAGATATTTGAGAAGAGAATAGTGTGCATTTAACACCATCCAACCTCACTGAAGGAGAAACTGGAAGAAATCAGAGTTGATCCCATCTTTTCCAACTGGATATATAATTACCTGACTGTGTGTCACAGTATGTCAGGTTAGGGAAGAGCGTGTCTGGGACTTTTGTGAGCCATAAGGGAGCACCACAGGGTACCATTCTGGCTCCCTTCCTCTTCACTGATTACACTGCAGAATTTGCACACAACTTTGCTACATGCCATGTACAAAAATAGGACTATAGGCAGGGGTGCACATAAGTGGTACGCAGGTACGCATGCGTGACTATCACTTGAGTTAGTAAGCGCTTTTGCGTACTTCACATTGACCAGTCCTTCTCAAATAGTGTGGCGCTCCTCCCTGGGGGGTCGTAGTGCAATAACATCCTTCGTTCTGACCCCGGGAGAAACTGTGGCGCTTCGACAGCTCAGCAAGTGTGCGTGGTCATATACCGAGCGCGGACCATAGACACGCGTGGTCATGTACCGAGCGAGGACCATAGACGCACGTGGTCATGTACCGAGCGAGGACCATAGACGCGCGTGGTCATGTACCGAGCGAGGACCATAGACGCGCGTGGTCATGTACCGCGCACCATAGACGCGCGACCTGGACTGGGTCCTAGTCCAGGTCCGGGTCTAGGTCTTGGTTCTCGACTCGGCTCAGGTCTGGGTCCAGGACTGAGTCTAGATCAGAGTCTAGATCAGAGTCTAGATCAGAGGCTAGATCAGAGTCTTGATCAGAGTCTAGATCAGAGTCTAGATCAGAGTCTAGATCAGAGTCTAGATCAGAGTCTAGATCAGAGTCTAGATCAGAGTCTAGATCAGAGTCTAGATCAGAGTCTAGATCAGAGTCTAGATCAGAGGCTAGATCAGAGTCTTGATCAGAGTCTAGATCAGAGTCTAGATCAGAGTCTAGATCAGAGTCTAGATCCGAGTCTAGATCCGAGTCTAGGTCCGAGTCTAGGTCCGAGTCTAGGTCCGAGTCTAGGTCCGAGTCTAGGTCCGGGGCTGAGTCCGGGACAGGGTCCGGGATTAAGTTAGACCCAGACTTAGGGTGATAAGTTAGACACATTCTTAAATGTTCCTCTGAGGACTTCCCTGGGTTTGGACTGAAGTCATGAAACTGTCAGAGAAGAGCCCTGAGGCCCAGGAGCAGTGCTGATGACCCGCCCTCTGTGACCCGTCTGTGGGATGGACCCCTCTCTCTGTGGTGTTTCCGAGGTTCTCTTTTTCTGCCACTGGTTTAGGAGTTTCCTCGATGCAGGAGGGTCTAAGGTGGATGGACTGTGTCTCAGCTGGATGGACTGTGTCTCAGCTGGATGGACTGTGTCTCTCAGCTGGATGGACTGTGTCTCTCACCTGGATGGACTGTGTCTCAGCTGGATGGACTGTGTCTCTCAGCTGGATGGACTGTGTCTCAGCTGGATGGACTGTGTCTCAGCTGGATGGACTGTGTCTCTCAGCTGGATGGACTGTGTCTCTCAGCTGGATGGACTGTGTCTCTCAGCTGGATGGACTGTGTCTCTCAGCTGGATAGACTGTGTCTCAGCTGGATGGACTGTCTCTCAGCTGGATGAACTGTGTCTCTCAGCTGGATGGACTGTGTCTCAGCTGGAGGAACTGTGTCTCTCACTAATTTGAATTATGAAACACTCAGAAACTTCATATGATCCATGTTTTGTGTTGAAGAGGAGGAGGCTCATTTGATTGCTAGACTGAAATCTGTGGTGATTCGTCTGCAGTTTTGAGTCAGGGGCGGGTAATTAGGGCTGTGTCAATTATCAGATATATAGCAAAGGAAGGTTTCTCACCCATCATCTGTACTTCTTAGCACGTTTTGGGAAAACGTGCTAAGAAGTACAGATGATGGGTGAGAAACCTTCCTTTGCTTTGACTAATCCCTGTACGACTGAGGGCTTACACAAACTTATCAGATATATATCAATATTTTAAAATTGAATACATTATAGCTGTTTTATTTAGGAATATATATATATATATATATATTTATTTATATATATATATATTAATTGTCCACTCACCTGGCCCTCCGTGGGCGGTTATCCCTCTCTAAGCTTGGGTCCTCTACCAGAGGCCTGGGAGCTTGAGGGTTCTGCGCAGTATCTTTGCTGTTCCTAGCACTGCACATTTCTGGACCCAGATGTCCGAGGTTGTTCCGGGGATCCGCTGTAACCTCTTCTAGCTTCGGGGTCACTGCCCCGAGTGCACCGATCACCACGGGCACTACTGTCACCTTTACCCTCCAGGCCCTCTCCCAGCTATATATATATATATATATATATATATATATATATATATATATATATATATATATATATATATATATATATATATATATATATATATATTATATATATATATTAACAGCTACTAATAGGAGCTGTTAACAGCTCCTATTAACAGCTACGCCCTGCCAGTGATCAGATACCCTGCAGGAATAATCAGGTGGCCAAAGGAAGAGATTCAGACCACGGATGTTAAAACTCGAAAGCTCCTTACCATGCATGGCGGGTTCCATCCCAAATCCAGCACCCTGAGACTGTACGTAAGCCGTAAAGAAGGAGGCAGAGGACTAGTGAGTGTGAGAGCCACTGTCCAGGACGAAACATCCAAACTCCATAACTACATCATGGAGAAGGCCTAAACGGATGACGTACTCAGTGAATGTCTCAGGCAGTGGCGGGATGAGGAGGTGCTGGAGGAGAGCCCATCATGGGAGAACAAGCCCCTACACGGCATGTACCACCGGAGCATAGCAGAAGTGGCTGATCTCAAGAAGTCCTACCAATGGCTAGAAAGGGCTGGCCTACAGGACAGCACAGAGGCACTCATCATGGCTGCACAGGAACAGGCCCTGAGCACCAGAGAGGCCCAGATATACCACACCAGACAAGACCCAAGGTGTCGGTTGTGCAAAGAGGCACTTGAGACGATCCAACACATAACTGCAGGGTGCAAGATGCTGGCAGGGAAGGCCTACATGGAACACCATAACCAAGTGGCTGGCATAGTGTACAGAAACATCTGTGCAGAGTATGGGCTGGAAACCCCAAGGACTAAGTGGGAAACTCCTCCAAAGGTGGTGGAGAATGAGAAGATCATGTGTGGGACTTCCAGATACAGACCGACCGAACGGTAATGAACCAACCTGACATCGTGGTGGTGGACAAAGGGCAGAGGACAGCCGTGGTGGTGGACAAAGGGCAGAGGACAGTCGTGGTGGTGGACAAAGGGCAGAGGACAGCCGTGGTGGTGGACAAAGGGCAGAGGACAGCCGTGGTGGTGGACAAAGGGCAGAGGACAGCCGTGGTGGTGGACAAAGGGCAGAGGACAGTCGTGGTGGTGGACAAAGGGCAGAGGACAGCCGTGGTGGTGGACAAAGGGCAGAGGACAGCCGTGGTGGTGGACAAAGGGCAGAGGACCGCCGTGGTGGTGGGCAAAGGGCAGAGGACAGCCGTGGTGGTGGGCAAAGGGCAGAGGAGCCGTGGTGGTGGGCAAAGGGCAGAGCACAGCCGTGGTGGTGGACAGAGGACAGCCGTGGTGGTGGACAAAGGGCAGAGGACAGCCGTGGTGGTGGACGTGGAAATTCCAAGCGATGGTAACATCAGGAAAAAAGAACATGAAAAGCTTGAGAAATACCAAGGTCTCAGAGAGGAGCTGGAGAGGGCCTGGAGGGTAAAGGTGACAATAGTGCCCGTGGTGAAAGGTGAGTGGACAATTTTTTTTTAAAATATATATATATATATAATTTTCCGATTTAGTCTCTTTTCCATTATTTCGATTTTTTGATGTTACAAACAGAAGCTTGAGATGATTTTTTTCATCAAATGTAATGCACCAATAATAGCTTTAAGATACCAGCCAAAAGCCTTTTTTACTGTGTTGTATTTTTGTTTGATTGTATGACTATATTTTTGACTGTGCGCACGTGTCTCCTGCAGCCCTGAACATACGTTCTAAGTTTATCAGTCCAGGTCTCAGTTCAGGTCTCAGTCCAGGCCTTGGATTCTTCAGCTGCAGATTGAAACATTGTTTCTCTTTGATGGCCCACTCTGGATCAGCCAATCAGAGTAGCCTACGGTCCCGCCCCCTGTGCACTTAGTATCACAGCCTAAAACTAAACATGTTTAAATGTGTTGTTTTAACACACACAGCACAGGAAAGGGCTTTAACACGAGTTCACCAGCAACAAGTTTCATTTGAAAACTTTGAAATGTTGTAATTGTAAAATGAATAAGTAAAAAACTATATTTTTTGAGGGAGAAAGAAACAGCTTGCAGGTGGATTTAACCAATCACAACACTGTGTATCTTAACCAATGAGAGCGCACAATGAGCCATGCGTGAAACGAATGCACGTTCTGTCTGAGTTCACGTGCACACGAGGACCACGCGAAGAGCACACGGCGACGAACCGGAGAGATGGCGCGTGAGAGCAGAGCCGATGCGGTAAGTACCTCTGTCTTATTTCTGTGGGTAAAGTGAGTGCTTTTCATTGTAATAACTCCGGCCAAAGTAACTTCTCCGTATCAAATCCAATGTTTTAAATACAAAACGTGGTGCTCAGCGGTAAGTTCGTTTGATGGCGGCGTGGGTCTGCGCCTGGGTCTGTGTCTATGCGCGAGTAAGTAAGTAGTAAGTAAGTTTTTATTTATATACCGCCTTTTCACTGCAGATCTGAGTCTCAAAGCGGTTTACAATTGTTAATTTTGGGCATTTGTCTCTCACTCCACACAGAGATGGGAGCAGAGTCGCCAGTACAGGAGGCACATGCCTATTGGACATATTTTTAGTGGTAGGGGAAACCGGAGTACCCGGAGGAAACCTACGCAGACACGGGGAGAACATGCAAACTCCACTCAGAAAGGCCCTGGTCCGACCGGGATTCAAACCCAGGACCTTCTTGCTGAGAGGCGAGAGTGCTATCCACTCAGCCACCGTGCCGCCCACGGTCTGGGTCTGTGCGCGGGTCTGGGTCTGTGCGTGGTTCTGTGGTTCTGTGGGTCTGTGCGTGGGTCTGTGCGTGGTTCTGTGGGTCTGTGCGAGGGTCTGTGCATGGTTCTGTGTCTGTGCGCGGGTCTGCTCGTTGTTCTGTGGGTCTGGGTCTGTGCGTGGGTCTGTGGTTCTGATCTCTGAAACTTCGAAAAAGATGGAGGCCTTCTAAAATCAATTGCTGAATTATGAAAATTGTATGAGCAAGCGATTATTATTTTATTTATTTTTTCCCCTTGGTCTGTGAAATGCACTATATATGAATATTACTTACTTATAGAACGTGTTTTGGATTCAGGACCTCATGGAGTAATTTCCAAAAATCATTTTAAATTTATTGTAAAATTAAAATGTGTTGAAATGTATTAAACAAAATGCAGATGAATTCTAATTGTAAATCTTGCATGTTGCAGATGAGTAGCCCATCTTCAGATGCCTGGTCCAGTGATGAGTACAAGCCTCCTCCTGGAAGCCCGTGCTCCTCTACATTATCCAGCAACGTTTCAGTATTTTCTGACACATGTGAGTCCAGACCAAAGACAAGTCCTGGTTTAGTCCTGGTTTAGTCCTAGGGTAGACCTGGTTTAGACCTGGTTTAGACCTGGTTTAGACCTGGTTTAGACCTGGTTTAGACCTGGTTTAGACCTGGTTTAGACCTGGTTTAGACCTGGTTTAGACCTGGTTTAGACCTGGTTTAGTCCTGGTTTAGTCCTGGTGTTTAGACCTGGTTTAGACCTGGTTCAGTCCTAGGGTAGACCTGGTTTAGACCTGGTTTAGACCTGGTTCAGACCTGGTTTAGACCTGGTTTAGACCTGGTTTAGACCTGGTTTAGTCCTGGGTGTTTAGACCTGGTTTAGACCTGGTTTAGACCTGGTTCAGTCCTGGTCCAGTCCTGGTTTAGACCTGGTTTAGTCCTGGTTCAGTCCTGTTCAGTCCTGGTTTAGACCTGGTTTAGACCTGGTTCAGTCCTGGTTCAATCCTGGTTCAGTCCTGGTTCAGGCCTGGTTTAGGCCTGGTTTAGACCTGGTTCAGTCCTGGTTTAGTCCTGGTTTAGACCTAGGCTAGACCTGGTTTAGTCCTGGTTTAGTCTTGGTTCAGACCTGGTTCAGACCTGGTTCAGACCTGGTTTAGTCCTGGTTTAGTCCTGGTTCAGTCCTGGTTCAGTCCTGGTTCAGTCCTGGTTCAGACCTGGTTCAGTCCTGGTTCAGTCCTGGTTTAGTCCTGGTTTAGACCTAGGCTAGACCTGGTTTAGACCTGGTTTAGTCCTGGTTTAGTCTTGGTTCAGACCTGGTTCAGACCTGGTTCAGTCCTTTTTTTAGTCCTGTTTCAGTCCTTTTTTTAGTCCTGGTTTAGTCCTGGTTTAGTCCTGGTTTAGTCCTGGTTTAGTCCTGGTTTAGTCCTGGTTTAGACCTGGTTTAGACCTGGTTTAGACCTGGTTTAGACCTGGTTTAGACCTGGTTTAGACCTGGTTCAGTCCTGGTGTTTAGACCTGGTTTAGACCTGGTTCAGTCCTGGTGTTTAGACCTAGGGTAGACCTGGTTTAGTCCTGGTTTAGACATGGTTTAGGCCTGGTTTAGGCCTGGTTTAGACCTGGTTTAGTCCTGGTTTAGACCTAGGCTAGACTTGGTTTAGTCCTGGTTTAGTCTTGGTTCAGACCTGGTTCAGACCTGGTTCAGTCCTGGTTTAGTCCTGTTTCAGTCCTTTTTTAGACCTGGTTTAGACCTGGTTTAGACCTGGTTTAGTCCTGGTTTAGTCCTGGTTTAGACCTGGTTCAGACCTGGTTCAGACCTGGTTTAGTCCTTGCTGACCCTTCTGTGTGTTCTTAGCGTGTGCTGAAGTGTCTGATGAAGAGGAGCTAGAGCCGACCTCCACAAAGGCCCAGAAAAACAAACGGACCAAGAGGACAGATGGTGAGTACAACTGGTCCTGGTTTAGTCCTGGTTTAGTCCTGGTTTAGACCTGGTTTAGTCCTGGTTTAGACCTGGTTCAGTCCTGGTTCAGTCCTGGTGTTTAGACCTAGGGTAGACCTGGTTTAGTCCTGGTTTAGACGTGGTTTAGGCCTGGTTTAGACCTGGTTCAGTCCTGGTTTAGTCCTGGTTTAGACCTAGGCTAGACCTGGTTTAGACCTGGTTTAGACCTGGTTTAGTCCTGGTTTAGTCCTGGTTTAGTCTTGGTTCAGACCTGGTTTAGTCCTGTTTCAGTCCTTTTTTTAGACCTGGTTTAGACCTGGTTTAGTCCTGGTTCAGTCCTGGTGTTTAGACCTGGTTTAGTCCTGTTTCAGTCCTTTTTTAGACATGGTTTAGGCCTGGTTTAGGCCTGGTTTAGACCTGGTTCAGTCCTGGTTCAGTCCTGGTTTAGTCCTGGTTTAGACCTAGGCTAGACCTGGTTTAGACCTGGTTTAGTCTTGGTTCAGACCTGGTTCAGACCTGGTTTAGTCCTGTTTCAGTCCTTTTTTAGACCTGGTTTAGACCTGGTTTAGTCCTGGTTTAGTCCTGGTTCAGACCTGGTTTAGACCTGGTTTAGACCTGGTTTAGACCTGGTTTAGTCCTGGTTTAGTCCTGGTTCAGACCTGGTTTAGTCCTGGTTCAGTCCTGGTTTAGACCTAGGGTAGACCTGGTTTAGTCCTGGTTTAGTCCTGGTTTAGTCCTGGTTTAGTCCTGGTTTAGTCCTGGTTCAGACCTGGTTTAGTCCTGGTTTAGTCCTGGTTCAGACCTGGTTTAGTCCTGGTTCAGACCTGGTTCAGACCTGGTTCAGACCTGGTTCAGACCTGGTTCAGACCTGGTTCAGACCTGGTTCAGACCTGGTTCAGACCTGGTTCAGACCTGGTTCAGACCTGGTTCAGACCTGGTTTAGACCTGGTTCAGTCCTGGTTCAGTCCTGGTGTTTAGACCTAGGGTAGACCTGGTTTAGTCCTGGTTTAGACATGGTTTAGGCCTGGTTTAGGCCTGGTTTAGACCTGGTTCAGTCCTGGTTTAGTCCTGGTTTAGACCTAGGCTAGACCTGGTTTAGACCTGGTTTAGTCCTGGTTTAGTCTTGGTTCAGACCTGGTTCAGACCTGGTTCAGACCTGGTTCAGACCTGGTTCAGACCTGGTTTAGTCCTGTTTCAGTCCTGGTTTAGACCTGGTTTAGACCTGGTTTAGACCTGGTTTAGTCCTGGTTTAGTCCTGGTTCAGACCTGGTTTAGACCTGGTTCAGACCTGGTTTAGACCTGGTTTAGTCCTGGTTCAGTCCTGGTTTAGTCCTTGCTGACCCTTCTGTGTGTTCTTAGCGTGTGCTGAAGTGTCTGATGAAGAGGAGCTAGAGCCGACCTCCACAAAGGCCCAGAAAAACAAACGGACCAAGAGGACAGATGGTGAGTACAACTGGTCCTGGTTTAGTCCTGGTTTAGACCTGGTTTAGACCTGGTTCAGTCCTGGTGTTTAGACCTAGGGTAGACCTGGTTTAGACGTGGTTTAGGCCTGGTTTAGTCCTGGTTTAGACCTGGTTTAGTCCTGGTTTAGTCTTGGTTCAGACCTGGTTTAGTCCTGTTTCAGTCCTTTTTTAGACCTGGTTTAGTCCTGGTTCAGACCTGGTTTAGTCCTGGTTCAGTCCTGGTGTTTAGACCTAGTTTAGACCTGGTTCAGTCCTGGTCCAGTCCTGGTCCAGTCCTGGTTTAGACCTGGTTTAGACCTGGTTTAGACCTGGTTTAGACCTGGTTTAGACCTGGTTTAGACCTGGTTTAGACCTGGTTTAGTCTTGGTTCAGACCTGGTTCAGACCTGGTTTAGTCCTGTTTCAGTCCTTTTTTAGACCTGGTTTAGACCTGGTTTAGTCAATCAATCAATCAATCAATCAAATTTTATTTATAAAGCGCTTTTCATACAAAAAGTGTAACACAAAGTGCTTTACAGTTTAGTTAAAAACAATCCAACATGCCCAGCCCTAAACCCTCCTCCCCACAGACCCCCCAAAATCACATTTATAATTATATATACAATACACACACACACACACACACACACACACACACACACACACACACACACACACACACACACGCATATACACAAGTATAAAGTCATATCAGGTAAAATAGGTAAAACAATAAAAAGAAATGGGGCTGGGAGCAGATGTAACCGGCTGAAGAAGCGTCATCCAAGGAGCCATCTGCACCAGGAGCAGAGAGCCGGCTGCAGCCACAGGCAACGACACAGGACCCAGAGGAGAGAGGGGCCCCAGACCCCACCAGGCCCAGGACTCAGACCCCATAGGACCCAGAGGAGAGAGGAGGCCCCAGACCCCCACCGGATCCAAGAGCCAGTCCCCCGAAGCCACAGCAGACCCCAGCTCTCAGTGCAGAGGGCTCCTCCAGAGGAAACACTGGGGACACTAAAACAATACAATAATACAATAGAAAGTAGAACAATAGAATGTGAAAATAAAAAGAAAAATGGCAGCTGCCTAATATAATAACAATAGTAAATGGGTAGATACAATAAATAATTAAAAATAGCAAATAATAAAAATAAATAAAAATATAATCCGTCTAAAAACATAAATAGATGTACTAAAAAGCAATAATAGATAATAAATACTAATCAAAAGCTGCTCTAAAAAGGTGCGTCTTGAGCCTACTCTTAAAAATATGAACGTTCTCTGCGGCCCTGAGCTCCTCCGGCAGACTGTTCCAGAGACGGGGGCCGTAGTGCTGGAAAGATGCCTCGCCGTGAGTGTGTGTCCTGACTTTGGGGATGGTTAGGAGTCTGTTGCCGGAGGAGCGCAGGGGCCGGGAAGGCTCATAGGATAAAAGCAAATCTGAAAGATAAGAAGGCCCAAGACCATTAAGACATTTAAAGACCATTAAAAGAACCTTAAAATCGATCCTGAAACACACGGGGAGCCAATGCAGCGATTTTAAAACCGGTGTAATGTGGTCCCGCCCCCTGGTCTTAGTCAGGACACGTGCGGCCGAGTTTTGAAGTAATTGTAAACCTGAAATGTTCTTTTTGGGAAGACCAGAGAGCAGGGCATTACAGTAGTCAATGCGACTGGTGATAAAAGCATGCATCAGCGTCTCCGTGTTGGCCCGAGAGAGAATGGGGCGGACTCTGGCGATGTTCTTTAAATGATAACCTATTTTTGTGATGTTCTTGATGTGAGGAATAAAAGTCAGCTCAGAGTCAAAGATTACGCCCAGGTTTTTCACTTGTGATGATGGATTAAAAGAGTGTGATTGGAGTTTCGGTAAAAGTTTCTCTCTCTGGGCCTCAGGACCGATGACTAAAACCTCAGTTTTGTCCTGGTTGAGCTGGAGAAAGTTTTCTGCCATCCAGGATTTCAGGTCTAAAATGCAGTTAAAAAGAGCATCCATTGGCCTGGTGTCATCAGGAGACATGGAGATGTACAGCTGTGTATCATCTGCATAACTGTGGAAGTCAATTCCATGTCTCCTGATGACACCGCCAAGAGGGAGCATGTACAGGTTAAAAAGGACTGGACCTAAAATGGAACCCTGGGGCACACCACATGTGATTTTATGGACCTGAGAGGAGCAGGATTCCAAACTTACCATGAAGGATCTGTCTGTTAAATAAGAAGTGAACCATTTGTGGACAGCACCAGAGAGGCCGAGGTGTTTCAGGCGGGATAAAAGAATGGTGTGGTCTACTGTATCAAAGGCAGCGCTTAGATCCAGTAGAACCAACACGGTCACCTTTTTAGAATCATAATTTAGTCTAAAATCATTTAAAATCTTTAAAAGAGCAGTCTCTGTGCTGTGGTTCACCCTAAATCCTGATTGAAATTTCTCTAAAATTTGCTGCTGATCTAAAAAGGCATTGAGCTGGGTAAAAACAAGTTTTTCTAAAATTTTGCTTAAAAATGGTAAGTTGGATACCGGTCTGTAGTTGTTAAAATCATTAAAATCCAAATTGCTCTTCTTCAGAAGGGGCCTCACCACAGCCGCTTTGAAGGCTGCAGGAAAGACCCCAGTCTGAAGAGAGCAATTCATCAGGTTTAAAAGCTCCTCTCTAAAAGATTCATAAAATGACTTAAAAAATGGAGTGGGGACTGGATCTAAAAGACATGTGGTGGGCCTCACTGAGGAGAAAACTTTATCAAGCATCTCAGCATCAACCAGGACAAAACTGTCCAGTGTTTCCTCTGGTGAAGACAAACAATCAAATGTGTTTAAAAACAGTTGTGCGGTTGGATAAAATGTTACATCTGATTGTATTTATCTTCCCCATGAAGTGGACTGCAAAATCCTCACAGAGGGAGTCTGTGGGGGTTAAAAGAGACATGCTAAAATCAGGGTTTAAAATGGTGTCGATGGTTGAAAAGAGGATTTTTGGATTATTTTTGTTCTGGCTGATTAGTTTTGCAAAGTAATTGTTCCTGTTTTTCCTGATTGTGTTGTTGTAAATTTGCTGTCGGTTTTTATATATTTCGTGATTGATTGTCGTTTTATTTTTTCTCCATCTTCGCTCTGCCACCCTGCACTGTCTTTTCATACTCCTTGCTTCCTCATTTTTCCAAGGGGCTATAGATTTTTGTTGAATGCTTACAATTTTTAATGGAACAACCTGATCCAGTGTAGTTCTTAGTCTACTGTTAAAATCATCTGCTATAAAATCACAGGGGGCAGGTAAAACCAACTGAGGAGTGTTATTTAGAATGTCCATAAAATTTGCAGCCACTTCAGGGGTTAGACGTCGTTTCTTCACAGTTCTCACAGAGGTCTCCTGTTTAACAAAACCAGTGATTTTAAAAAACACACAATAGTGGTCAGAGATAGCCAGGTCAACAACAGAGGACACACCCGCACTCAGGCCATAAGTAATGACCAGGTCGAGGGTGTGCCCTCTGTTGTGCGTCGGCTGTGTGACATGTTGAGTAAAATCCATGTAATTTAAAATACTTACAAACTCGCAGGTAGAATGGTCTGATGGGTTGTCAAAGTGGATGTTAAAATCACCGGTTAAAACAATCCTATTATAGGAATTGTATAACAAAGATAAAAACTCTGAAAATTCATTGATAAAACGGCTGCACTTTTTTGGTGGCCGATAGATGGTTACTGCTAAAATTTCGGGGCTGCTAAAAACAAGGGCATGATACTCAAAACTTGAGTATTGGTTAAAATTAATGGTTTTGGTGGCCAGGGTGTTTTTCCAAATTGAGGCTGTGCCACCACCTCTTCTTCCTTCTCTTGTTTTAAAAGCAAAGCTAAAATCGGGAGGGGAGGTCTCTGTGAGAACAGCCGGAGCATCCGGACCCAGCCAGGTCTCAGTTAAAAACATAGCATCCAGTTTGTGTTGTAAAATCAAATCATTAATGATAAAAGTTCTATTTAAAAGAGAGCGTACATTTAAAAGAGCAAACCTGATGGTGGATGGAGAGTCATTTTTGTTTGTAGTGAGGGGAGAAGATGATGTGGAGGAGCAAAGGGCAACAGGGATGAGGGTGTTGAGGGACGGTTTCCGGAGTATGGACGGTCTGTAGGGGCGGGGTCTGGACAGAACTGAAATTCCTTGTTGGGGGGGGGAGCAGGGACTGATGTTGGAGTCCAGCGGGGCAGGAATGATGTGGGATGGAGTGATGGGTTGTCAGAGGTGCGGGGGACGGGATTGAACTGAGTGGGTGATGTTTGAAATCAGGTACCGGGTGCCGAGTTTATTGATATGGAGTCCATCGGGTGTGAAGAAGGGGTGGCGGTTCCAGAACAAATTAAAATTGTCAATAAAACCAAAGTTGTGCTGCTGTGATGATTTTTGAAGCCAAGTGGTGAGTGATAGTATCCTGCTAAAACGTTCCACGCCCCGGTTCAACGTGGGCAGAGGGCCAGAGATAAAAACACTTTTTCCGGTTTTTGATAAAAGGTTAAAAAGGTCCTTTAAAATGGAGTTTGGTGATTTCAGATTGGCGGAGTGCAGCATCATTTGTACCAACATGAATTATGATCCGGGTTATTGTGGGGGGTGCTGTCTGTAGAAGTGCGGGTAGTTTAGTGAGGATGGTAGGGACAGTGGCTCCGGGAAAGCAGTGCGTGATGGCATTGAAGAACTTACAGTGTTTGATGATAGAGTCCCCCACCAGGAGTGTAGTTGGTGCGAACAGAGGTCGTGGAGGGGAGGGAGTGACTGGAGTAGGACCCGGGGGAGAGCAGGGGACAGGAGAGCGTTGGGATGCGCCCGGAGCAGAGCTGCTGCGAGCCCCGTGAGCTGCAGTGGAGCAGAAGGAGGGAGCCGGAGACCGAACCGGCGCCCCTGCAGCGGGGTTGGTGGTGGTGGTAGTGCGGGCGGTTGTGGGAGGGCCATGCACCGGGCGGAGAGATCCTCCAGCAGGCGAGACAGCCTCCGCGGGGGAGCTCCGCGCTGAGATAAAGCGCAGAGACCCCCCCGCGGGCGAGGCAGCAACTACGGGAGGACTCTGCGCCGCGGCACGGCGCAGAGGTCCCCCCGCGGCCACCTCAGCGTAGGACCTGCTTTGTGTCTCGCCTCTGGGGATTCCCTCCGCGTCAGAGCGCACGGACCCTCCCACAGCAGGGACAGCGCTCCCGGGGGTATCCGGTGCCGCGTCGGGGCACAGAGATCCCCCCGGGGCTTCCCGCAGTTGGTCCTGCGTGACACCCGGAGAGCCCCGCGCTGTTTTTAGAGCGTGGGAAGCTCCCCGAGCGTCTGCGCACAGCCTCCTCCACCAACCTGCGGCGCGAGGACGCCGTGGATGTCGTGTGGCCTCCAGGCCTCTGCTCCACGCCGCTCTGGGTATGGGCAGCAGGCTCCGGGACTGAGGAGGAGGGAAGAGCACCAAGAGGGACAGCTGCAACCGGGGAGCGTGAGGTAAGCACCGGGGTAGAGCATGATGAGGGGTGAGGACAGGCGATTGGATCCCAGAGTGCAGTGTCGTGGAGCTGTGATTGTCTGAGTACGGAGAGGGATATTTGCTGTGACTGTTTGAATGATATGTCCATGAAATGTTCCAGAAGTTTCTCTTTATGTATGAGTTCGGTGGATAGTTCTTTGACAGTGCGCTGAAGTTCCTCGGGGGTCATGGTGTTTACAGGTTTGGATGGGAGGATTGAAGCCAGTTGTGATTTGTATATTTGTTTGTATGAGTTGGCGGGGGGAGCATCGGTGTCCATGGTGATGTGTGTGGGCAGGCTGGTTACCGGTAAAAGGCTGATAAACAGTCCTGTTAAAAGTGACAGTAATCCTTTTTTATGCAGTCTGTTAAAATCCGCTTACTCCGTCGAGTAGGGCAAATAAAACCAGTAAAAGAAACTTAGTTTAAAAATAAATCATAAAAAACGTGCAGCTCAAAAAAGGCTCCAAACAAATGCGTCCGCCATCCTGTCCTGGTTTAGTCCTGGTTCAGACCTGGTTCAGACCTGGTTTAGACCTGGTTTAGACCTGGTTTAGTCCTGGTTTAGTCCTGGTTCAGACCTGGTTTAGTCCTGGTTCAGTCCTGGTTCAGTCCTGGTTTAGACCTAGGGTAGACCTGGTTTAGTCCTGGTTTAGTCCTGGTTTAGGCCTGGTTTAGGCCTGGTTTAGACCTGGTTCAGTCCTGGTTCAGTCCTGGTTTAGTCCTGGTTTAGACCTAGGCTAGACCTGGTTTAGTCCTGGTTTAGTCCTGTTTCAGTCCTTTTTTAGACCTGGTTTAGACCTGGTTTAGTCCTGGTTTAGTCCTGGTTTAGTCCTGGTTTAGTCCTGGTTTAGTCCTGGTTCAGACCTGGTTTAGACCTGGTTTAGACCTGGTTCAGACCTGGTTTAGTCCTGGTTTAGTCCTGGTTTAGACCTAGGCTAGACCTGGTTTAGTCCTGGTTTAGTCCTGTTTCAGTCCTTTTTTAGACCTGGTTTAGACCTGGTTTAGTCCTGGTTTAGTCCTGGTTTAGTCCTGGTTTAGTCCTGGTTCAGACCTGGTTTAGACCTGGTTCAGACCTGGTTTAGACCTGGTTTAGTCCTGGTTCAGTCCTGGTTTAGTCCTGGTTTAGTCCTGGTTTAGACCTGGTTCAGACCTGGTTTAGACCTGGTTTAGTCCTGGTTCAGTCCTGGTTTAGTCCTTGCTGACCTTTCTGTGTGTTCTTAGCGTGTGCTGAAGTGTCTGATGAAGAGGAGCTAGAGCCGACCTCCACAAAGGCCCAGAAAAACAAACGGACCAAGAGGACAGATGGTGAGTACAACTGGTCCTGGTTTAGTCCTGGTTTAGACCTGGTTTAGACCTGGTTCAGTCCTGGTGTTTAGACCTAGGGTAGACCTGGTTTAGTCCTGGTTTAGGCCTGGTTTAGGCCTGGTTTAGACCTGGTTCAGTCCTGGTTCAGTCCTGGTGTAGTCCTGGTTTAGACCTAGGCTAGACCTGGTTTAGACCTGGTTTAGTCCTGGTTTAGTCTTGGTTCAGACCTGGTTTAGTCCTGTTTCAGTCCTTTTTTAGACCTGGTTTAGACCTGGTTTAGTCCTGGTTTAGTCCTGGTTCAGACCTGGTTTAGTCCTGGTTCAGTCCTGGTGTTTAGACCTAGTTCAGTCCTGGTCCAGTCCTGGTCCAGTCCTGGTCCAGTCCTGGTCCAGTCCTGGTCCAGTCCTGGTTTAGACCTGGTTTAGACCTGGTTTAGACCTGGTTTAGACCTGGTTTAGACCTGGTTCAGTCCTGGTTCAGTCCTGGTTTAGTCCTGGTTTAGACCTAGGTTAGACCTGGTTTAGACCTGGTTTAGACCTGGTTTAGTCCTGGTTTAGTCTTGGTTCAGACCTGGTTCAGACCTGGTTCAGACCTGGTTCAGACCTGGTTCAGACCTGGTTCAGACCTGGTTCAGTCCTGGTTCAGTCCTGGTTTAGTCCTGTTTCAGTCCTTTTTTAGACCTGGTTTAGTCCTGGTTTAGTCCTGGTTTAGTCCTGGTTTAGTCCTGGTTTAGTCCTGGTTTAGTCCTGGTTTAGTCCTGGTTTAGTCCTGGTTTAGACCTGGTTTAGTCCTGGTTTAGTCCTGGTTTAGTCCTGGTTCAGTCCTGGTTTAGACCTAGGGTAGACCTGGTTTAGTCCTGGTTCAGTCCTGGTTTAGTCCTGGTTTAGTCCTGGTTCAGACCGGGTTTAGTCCTGGTTCAGACTTGGTTGAGTCCTGGTTCAGACCTGGTTCAGACCTGGTTCAGACCTGGTTCAGACCTGGTTCAGTCCTGGTTCAGTCCTGGTTTAGACCTAGGCTAGACCTGGTTTAGACCTGGTTTAGTCCTGGTTTAGTCCTGGTTTAGTCCTGGTTCAGACCTGGTTCAGACCTGGTTCAGACCTGGTTTAGTCCTGGTTTAGACCTGGTTTAGTCCTGGTTTAGTCCTGGTGTAGTCCTGGTTTAGACCTGGTTTAGACCTGGTTCAGTCCTGGTTCAGTCCTGGTTCAGTCCTGGTTTAGTCCTTGCTGACCCTTCTGTGTGTTCTTAGCGTGTGCTGAAGTGTCTGATGAAGAGGAGCTAGAGCCGACCTCCACAAAGGCCCAGAAAAACAAACGGACCAAGAGGACAGATGGTGAGTACAACTGGTCCTGGTTTAGTCCTGGTTTAGACCTGGTTTAGACCTGGTTCAGTCCTGGTGTTTAGACCTGGTTTAGACCTGGTTCAGTCCTGGTTCAGTCCTGGTGTTTAGACCTAGGGTAGACCTGGTTTAGTCCTGGTTTAGACGTGGTTTAGGCCTGGTTTAGACCTGGTTCAGTCCTGGTTCAGTCCTGGTTTAGTCCTGGTTTAGACCTAGACTAGACCTGGTTTAGACCTGGTTTAGTCCTGGTTTAGTCTTGGTTCAGACCTGGTTTAGTCCTGTTTCAGTCCTTTTTTAGACCTGGTTTAGACCTGGTTTAGTCCTGGTTTAGTCCTGGTTCAGACCTGGTTTAGTCCTGGTTCAGTCCTGGTGTTTAGACCTAGTTCAGTCCTGGTCCAGTCCTGGTCCAGTCCTGGTTTAGACCTGGTTTAGACCTGGTTTAGACCTGGTTTAGACCTGGTTTAGACCTGGTTTAGACCTGGTTTAGACCTGGTTTAGACCTGGTTCAGTCCTGGTTCAGTCCTGGTTTAGTCCTGGTTTAGACCTAGGTTAGACCTGGTTTAGACCTGGTTTAGACCTGGTTTAGTCCTGGTTTAGTCTTGGTTCAGACCTGGTTCAGACCTGGTTCAGACCTGGTTCAGACCTGGTTCAGACCTGGTTCAGACCTGGTTCAGACCTGGTTCAGTCCTGGTTCAGTCCTGGTTTAGTCCTGTTTCAGTCCTTTTTTAGACCTGGTTTAGTCCTGGTTTAGTCCTGGTTTAGTCCTGGTTTAGTCCTGTTTCAGACCTGGTTTAGACCTGGTTTAGACCTGGTTTAGTCCTGGTTTAGTCCTGGTTCAGACCTGGTTTAGTCCTGGTTCAGTCCTGGTTTAGACCTAGGGTAGACCTGGTTCAGTCCTGGTTCAGTCCTGGTTTAGTCCTGGTTTAGTCCTGGTTTAGTCCTGGTTCAGTCCTGGTTTAGTCCTGGTTCAGACCTGGTTCAGACCTGGTTCAGACCTGGTTCAGACCTGGTTCAGACCTGGTTTAGTCCTGGTTTAGACCTAGGCTAGACCTGGTTTAGACCTGGTTTAGTCCTGGTTTAGTCCTGGTTCAGACCTGGTTCAGACCTGGTTCAGACCTGGTTCAGACCTGGTTTAGTCCTGGTTTAGTCCTGTTTCAGTCCTGTTTCAGTCCTGGTTTAGACCTGGTTTAGTCCTGGTTTAGTCCTGGTGTAGTCCTGGTTTAGACCTGGTTTAGACCTGGTTCAGTCCTGGTTCAGTCCTGGTTCAGTCCTGGTTTAGTCCTTGCTGACCTTTCTGTGTGTTCTTAGCGTGTGCTGAAGTGTCTGATGAAGAGGAGCTAGAGCCGACCTCCACAAAGGCCCAGAAAAACAAACGGACCAAGAGGACAGATGGTGAGTACAACTGGTCCTGGTTTAGTCCTGGTTCAGTCCTGGTGTTTAGACCTGGTTCAGTCCTGGTGTTTAGACCTGGTTTAGACCTGGTTCAGTCCTGGTTCAGTCCTGGTGTTTAGACCTAGGGTAGACCTGGTTTAGTCCTGGTTTAGACGTGGTTTAGGCCTGGTTTAGACCTGGTTCAGTCCTGGTTCAGTCCTGGTTTAGTCCTGGTTTAGACCTAGGCTAGACCTGGTTTAGACCTGGTTTAGTCTTGGTTCAGACCTGGTTCAGATCTGGTTCAGTCCTGGTTCAGTCCTTGTTTAGTCCTGGTTCAGTCCTGGTTTAGTCCTGGTTCAGCCCTGGTTCAGTCCTGTTTCAGTCCTGGTTTAGACCTGGTTTAGACCTGGTTTAGACCTGGTTTAGACCTGGTTTAGACCTGGTTTAGACCTGGTTTAGTCCTGGTTTAGACCTGGTTTAGACCTGGTTTAGTCCTGGTTTAGACCTGGTTTAGACCTGATTTAGACCTGGTTCAGTCCTGGTTCAGTCCTGGTTCTGTCCTTGTTTAGTCCTGGTTCAGTCCTGGTTCAGTCCTGGTTTAGTCCTGGTTCAGTCCTGGTTCAGTCCTGTTTCAGTCCTGGTTTAGGCCTGTTTCAGACCTGGTTTAGTCCTGTTTCAGACCTGGTTTAGGCCTGGTTTAGTCCTGGTTTAGGCCTGGTTTAGGCCTGGTTTAGACCTGGTTTAGACCTGGTTTAGACCTGGTTTAGACCTGGTTTAGACCTGGTTTAGACCTGGTTTAGACCTGGTTTAGACCTGGTTTAGTCCTGGTTTAGTCCTGGTTTAGACCTGGTTTAGTCTTGGTTCAGACCTGGTTCAGACCTGGTTCAGACCTGGTTTAGTCCTGTTTCAGTCCTTTTTTAGACCTGGTTTAGACCTGGTTTAGTCCTGGTTTAGTCCTGGTTCAGACCTGGTTCAGACCTGGTTCAGACCTGGTTTAGACCTGGTTTAGACCTGGTTTAGTCCTGGTTTAGTCCTGGTTTAGTCCTGGTTCAGTCCTGGTTTAGACCTAGGGTAGACCTGGTTTAGTCCTGGTTTAGTCCTGGTTTAGGCCTGGTTTAGGCCTGGTTTAGACCTGGTTCAGTCCTGGTTCAGTCCTGGTTTAGTCCTGGTTTAGACCTAGGCTAGACCTGGTTTAGACCTGGTTTAGTCCTGGTTTAGTCCTGTTTCAGTCCTTTTTTAGACCTGGTTTAGACCTGGTTTAGACCTGGTTTAGTCCTGGTTTAGTCCTGGTTCAGACCTGGTTTAGACCTGGTTTAGACCTGGTTCAGACCTGGTTTAGTCCTGGTTTAGTCCTGGTTTAGACCTAGGCTAGACCTGGTTTAGACTTGTTTTAGTCCTGGTTTAGTCCTGTTTCAGTCCTTTTTTAGACCTGGTTTAGACCTGGTTTAGTCCTGGTTTAGTCCTGGTTTAGTCCTGGTTTAGTCCTGGTTTAGTCCTGGTTCAGACCTGGTTTAGACCTGGTTCAGACCTGGTTTAGACCTGGTTTAGTCCTGGTTCAGTCCTGGTTTAGTCCTGGTTTAGTCCTGGTTTAGACCTGGTTCAGACCTGGTTTAGACCTGGTTTAGTCCTGGTTCAGTCCTGGTTTAGTCCTTGCTGACCCTTCTGTGTGTTCTTAGCGTGTGCTGAAGTGTCTGATGAAGAGGAGCTAGAGCCGACCTCCACAAAGGCCCAGAAAAACAAACGGACCAAGAGGACAGATGGTGAGTACAACTGGTCCTGGTTTAGTCCTGGTTTAGACCTGGTTTAGACCTGGTTCAGTCCTGGTGTTTAGACCTAGGGTAGACCTGGTTTAGTCCTGGTTTAGGCCTGGTTTAGGCCTGGTTTAGACCTGGTTCAGTCCTGGTTCAGTCCTGGTGTAGTCCTGGTTTAGACCTAGGCTAGACCTGGTTTAGACCTGGTTTAGTCCTGGTTTAGTCTTGGTTCAGACCTGGTTTAGTCCTGTTTCAGTCCTTTTTTAGACCTGGTTTAGACCTGGTTTAGTCCTGGTTTAGTCCTGGTTTAGTCCTGGTTTAGTCCTGGTTTAGACCTGGTTTAGTCCTGGTTTAGTCCTGGTTTAGTCCTGGTTCAGTCCTGGTTTAGACCTGGTTTAGACCTGGTTTAGTCCTGGTTCAGTCCTGGTTTAGTCCTGGTTTAGTCCTGGTTCAGACCTGGTTTAGTCCTGGTTCAGACCTGGTTTAGTCCTGGTTCAGACCTGGTTCAGACCTGGTTCAGACCTGGTTCAGACCTGGTTCAGTCCTGGTTCAGTCCTGGTTTAGACCTAGGCTAGACCTGGTTTAGACCTGGTTTAGTCCTGGTTTAGTCCTGGTTTAGTCCTGGTTCAGACCTGGTTCAGACCTGGTTCAGACCTGGTTCAGACCTGGTTTAGACCTGGTTTAGTCCTGGTTTAGTCCTGGTTTAGTCCTGGTTTAGACCTGGTTTAGACCTGGTTCAGTCCTGGTTCAGTCCTGGTTCAGTCCTGGTTTAGTCCTTGCTGACCCTTCTGTGTGTTCTTAGCGTGTGCTGAAGTGTCTGATGAAGAGGAGCTAGAGCCGACCTCCACAAAGGCCCAGAAAAACAAACTGACCAAGAGGACAGATGGTGAGTACAACTAGTCCTGGTTTAGACCTGGTTCAGTCCTGGTGTTTAGACCTGGTTTAGACCTGGTTCAGTCCTGGTTCAGTCCTGGTGTTTAGACCTAGGGTAGACCTGGTTTAGTCCTGGTTTAGGACGTGGTTTAGGCCTGGTTTAGACCTGGTTCAGTCCTGGTTCAGTCCTGGTTTAGTCCTGGTTTTAGACCTAGACTAGACCTGGTTTAGACCTGGTTTAGTCCTGGTTTAGTCCTGGTTTGGTTCAGACCTGGTTTAGTCCTGTTTCAGTCCTTTTTTAGACCTGGTTTAGACCTGGTTTAGTCCTGGTTTAGTCCTGGTTCAGACCTGGTTTAGTCCTGGTTCAGTCCTGGTGTTTAGACCTAGTTCAGTCCTGGTCCAGTCCTGGTCCAGTCCTGGTTTAGACCTGGTTTAGACCTGGTTTAGACCTGGTTTAGACCTGGTTTAGACCTGGTTTAGACCTGGTTAGACCTGGTTCAGTCCTGGTTCAGTCCTGGTTTAGTTCAGTCCTGGTTTAGACCTAGGTTAGACCTGGTTTAGACCTGGTTTAGTCCTGGTTTAGTCCTCCTGGACTGTTCAGACTGTTCACCTGGTTAGTCTTGGTTCAGACCTGGTTCAGACCTGGTTCAGACCTGGTTCAGACCTGGTTCAGACCTGGTTCAGACCTGGTTCAGACCTGGTTCAGACCTGGTTTAGTCCTGGTTCAGTCCTGGTTTAGTCCTGGTTTAGTCCTGGTTTAGTCCTGGTTTAGTCCTGGTTTAGTCCTGGTTTAGTCCTGGTTCAGTCCTGGTTTAGTCCTGGTTTAGACCTGGTTTAGTCCTGGTTTAGTCCTGGTTTAGACCTGGTTTAGTCCTGGTTCAGTCCTGGTTTAGTCCTGGTTTAGACCTGGTTCAGTCCTGGTTCAGTCCTGGTTTAGTCCTGGTTTAGTCCTGGTTTAGTCCTGGTTCAGTCCTGGTTTAGTCCTGGTTTAGTCCTGGTTTAGTCCTGGTTTAGTCCTGGTTCAGTCCTGGTTTAGTCCTGGTTTAGTCCTGGTTTAGACCTGGTTTAGTCCTGGTTTAGTCCTGGTTTAGTCCTGGTTTAGTCCTGGTTTAGACCTGGTTCAGACCTGGTTCAGACCTGGTTTAGACCTGGTTTAGACCTGGTTTAGTCCTGGTTCAGACCTGGTTTAGTCCTGGTTCAGTCCTGGTTCAGTCCTGGTTCAGACCTGGTTCAGTCCTGGTTCAGTCCTGGTTTAGTCCTGGTTTAGTCCTGGTTTAGTCCTGGTTTAGTCCTGGTTTAGTCCTGGTTCAGTCCTGGTTCAGTCCTGGTTCAGTCCTGGTTCAGTCCTGGTTCAGTCCTGGTTCAGTCCTGGTTCAGTCCTGGTTCAGTCCTGGTTCAGTCCTGGTTCAGTCCTGGTTCAGTCCTGGTTCAGTCCTGGTTCAGTCCTGGTGTTTAGACCTAGGGTAGACCTGGTTTAGTCCTGGTTTAGTCCTGGTTTAGGCCTGGTTTAGGCCTGGTTTAGGCCTGGTTTAGGCCTGGTTTAGACCTGGTTTAGACCTGGTTTAGTCCTGGTTTAGTCTTGGTTCAGACCTCGTTCAGACCTGGTTCAGACCTGGTTCAGACCTGGTTCAGACCTGGTTCAGACCTGGTTCAGACCTGGTTCAGACCTGGTTCAGACCTGGTTTAGTCCTGGTTCAGTCCTGGTTCAGACCTGGTTTAGACCTGGTTCAGACCTGGTTTAGTCCTGGTTTAGTCCTGTTTCAGTCCTTTTTTAGACCTGGTTTAGACCTGGTTTAGTCCTGGTTTAGACCTGGTTTAGTCCTGGTTCAGACCTGGTTTAGACCTGGTTCAGACCTGGTTTAGACCTGGTTTAGTCCTGGTTCAGTCCTGGTTTAGTCCTTGCTGACCCTTCTGTGTGTTCTTAGCGTGTGCTGAAGTGTCTGATGAAGAGGAGCTAGAGCCGACCTCCACAAAGGCCCAGAAAAACAAACGGACCAAGAGGACAGATGGTGAGTACAACTGGTCCTGGTTTAGTCCTGGTTTAGACCTGGTTTAGACCTGGTTCAGTCCTGGTTTAGTCCTGGTTTAGACGTGGTTTAGGCCTGGTTTAGGCCTGGTTTAGGCCTGGTTTAGACCTGGTTCAGTCCTGGTTTAGTCCTGGTTTAGTCCTGGTTTAGACCTGGTTTAGTCCTGGTTTAGTCCTGGTTTAGTCCTGGTTTAGACCTAGGCTAGACCTGGTTTAGACCTGGTTTAGACCTGGTTTAGTCCTGGTTTAGTCTTGGTTCAGACCTGGTTTAGTCCTGGTTTAGTCCTGGTTTAGACCTGGTTTAGACCTGGTTTAGTCCTGGTTTAGACCTAGGCTAGACCTGGTTTAGACCTGGTTTAGTCTTGGTTCAGACCTGGTTCAGACCTGGTTTAGTCCTGTTTCAGTCCTTTTTTAGACCTGGTTTAGTCTTGGTTCAGACCTGGTTCAGACCTGGTTTAGTCCTGTTTCAGTCCTTTTTTAGACCTGGTTTAGACCTGGTTTAGTCCTGGTTTAGTCCTGGTTTAGTCCTGGTTTAGTCCTGGTTTAGTCCTGGTTTAGTCCTGGTTTAGTCCTGGTTTAGACCTGGTTTAGACCTGGTTTAGTCCTGGTTTAGTCCTGGTTCAGACCTGGTTTAGTCCTGGTTCAGTCCTGGTTTAGACCTGGTTTAGACCTGGTTTAGTCCTGGTTTAGTCCTGGTTTAGTCCTGGTTTAGTCCTGGTTCAGACCTGGTTTAGTCCTGGTTCAGACCTGGTTTAGTCCTGGTTCAGACCTGGTTTAGTCCTGGTTCAGACCTGGTTCAGACCTGGTTCAGACCTGGTTCAGACCTGGTTCAGACCTGGTTCAGACCTGGTTCAGACCTGGTTCAGACCTGGTTCAGACCTGGTTCAGACCTGGTTCAGACCTGGTTCAGACCTGGTTCAGACCTGGTTCAGACCTGGTTCAGACCTGGTGTTTAGACCTAGGGTAGACCTGGTTTAGACCTGGTTTAGACCTGGTTTAGGCCTGGTTTAGGCCTGGTTTAGACCTGGTTCAGTCCTGGTTTAGTCCTGGTTTAGACCTAGGCTAGACCTGGTTTAGACCTGGTTTAGACCTGGTTTAGTCCTGGTTTAGTCCTGGTTTAGTCCTGGTTTAGTCCTGGTTTAGTCCTGGTTTAGACCTGGTTTAGTCCTGGTTTAGACCTGGTTTAGTCCTGGTTTAGTCCTGGTTTAGACCTGGTTTAGACCTGGTTTAGACCTGGTTTAGTCCTGGTTTAGTCCTGGTTTAGACCTGGTTTAGTCCTGGTTCAGACCTGGTTCAGACCTGGTTTAGTCCTGGTTCAGTCCTGGTTTAGTCCTTGCTGACCCTTCTGTGTGTTCTTAGCGTGTGCTGAAGTGTCTGATGAAGAGGAGCTAGAGCCGACCTCCACAAAGGCCCAGAAAAACAAACGGACCAAGAGGACAGATGGTGAGTACAACTGGTCCTGGTTTAGTCCTGGTTTAGACCTGGTTTAGACCTGGTTCAGTCCTGGTGTTTAGACCTAGGGTAGACCTGGTTTAGTCCTGGTTTAGACGTGGTTTAGGCCTGGTTTAGACCTGGTTCAGTCCTGGTTTAGTCCTGGTTTAGTCCTGGTTTAGACCTGGTTTAGTCCTGGTTTAGTCCTGGTTTAGTCCTGGTTTAGACCTAGGCTAGACCTGGTTTAGACCTGGTTTAGACCTGGTTTAGACCTGGTTTAGTCCTGGTTTAGTCCTGGTTTAGACCTGGTTTAGTCCTGGTTTAGTCTTGGTTCAGACCTGGTTTAGTCCTGGTTTAGACCTGGTTTAGACCTGGTTTAGTCCTGGTTTAGCTAGACCTGGTTTAGACCTGGTTTAGTCCTGGTTTAGTCCTGGTTTAGACCTGGTTTAGACCTGGTTTAGTCCTGGTTTAGTCCTGGTTTAGTCCTGGTTTAGACCTGGTTTAGTCCTGGTTTAGTCCTGGTTTAGTCCTGGTTTAGACCTGGTTTAGACCTGGTTTAGTCCTGGTTTAGTCCTGGTTTAGTCCTGGTTTAGTCCTGGTTTAGACCTGGTTTAGTCCTGGTTTAGTCCTGGTTTAGTCCTGGTTTAGTCCTGGTTTAGTCCTGGTTTAGTCCTGGTTTAGACCTGGTTTAGACCTGGTTTAGTCCTGGTTTAGTCCTGGTTTAGTCCTGGTTTAGACCTGGTTTAGTCCTGGTTCAGACCTGGTTCAGACCTGGTTTAGTCCTGGTTCAGTCCTGGTTTAGTCCTGTTCAGACCTGGTGTTAGCTGTGCTGAGTCCTGGTTCAGACCTGGTTCAGACCTGGTTCAGACCTGGTTTAGTCCTGGTTTAGACGTGGTTTAGACGTGGTTTAGGCCTGGTTTAGACCTGGTTCAGTCCTGGTTTAGACCTGGTTTAGTCCTGGTTTAGTCCTGGTTTAGTCCTGGTTTAGTCCTGGTTTAGACCTAGGCTAGACCTGGTTTAGACCTGGTTTAGACCTGGTTTAGACCTGGTTTAGACCTGGTTTAGTCCTGGTTTAGACCTGGTTTAGTCCTGGTTTAGTCCTGGTTTAGTCCTGGTTTAGACCTGGTTTAGACCTGGTTTAGTCCTGGTTTAGACCTAGGCTAGACCTGGTTTAGACCTGGTTTAGTCTTGGTTCAGACCTGGTTCAGACCTGGTTTAGTCCTGTTTCAGTCCTTTTTTAGACCTGGTTTAGTCTTGGTTCAGACCTGGTTCAGACCTGGTTTAGTCCTGTTTCAGTCCTTTTTTAGACCTGGTTTAGACCTGGTTTAGTCCTGGTTTAGTCCTGGTTTAGTCCTGGTTTAGTCCTGGTTTAGTCCTGGTTTAGTCCTGGTTTAGTCCTGGTTTAGTCCTGGTTCAGTCCTGGTTCAGACCTGGTTTAGACCTGGTTTAGTCCTGGTTCAGACCTGGTTCAGACCTGGTTTAGACCTGGTTTAGTCCTGGTTCAGTCCTGGTTTAGTCCTTGCTGACCCTTCTGTGTGTTCTTAGCGTGTGCTGAAGTGTCTGATGAAGAGGAGCTAGAGCCGACCTCCACAAAGGCCCAGAAAAACAAACGGACCAAGAGGACAGATGGTGAGTACAACTGGTCCTGGTTTAGTCCTGGTTTAGACCTGGTTCAGTCCTGGTGTTTAGACCTAGGGTAGACCTGGTTTAGTCCTGGTTTAGACGTGGTTTAGGCCTGGTTTAGGCCTGGTTTAGACCTGGTTCAGTCCTGGTTCAGTCCTGGTTTAGTCCTGGTTTAGACCTAGGCTAGACCTGGTTTAGACCTGGCTTAGTCTTGGTTCAGACCTGGTTTAGTCCTGTTTCAGTCCTTTTTTAGACCTGGTTTAGACCTGGTTTAGTCCTGGTTCAGACCTGGTTTAGTCCTGGTTCAGTCCTGGTGTTTAGACCTAGTTTAGACCTGGTTCAGTCCTGGTCCAGTCCTGGTCCAGTCCTGGTTTAGACCTGGTTTAGACCTGGTTTAGACCTGGTTTAGACCTGGTTTAGAGCTGGTTTAGAGCTGGTTTAGAGCTGGTTTAGAGCTGGTTTAGAGCTGGTTTAGAGCTGGTTTAGAGCTGGTTTAGAGCTGGTTTAGACCTGGTTTAGACCTGGTTTAGACCTGGTTCAGTCCTGGTTTAGTCCTGGTTTAGTCCTGTTTCAGTCCTTTTTTAGACCTGGTTTAGACCTGGTTTAGTCCTGGTTTAGTCCTGGTTTAGTCCTGGTTTAGTCCTGTTTCAGTCCTTTTTTAGACCTGGTTTAGACCTGGTTTAGTCCTGGTTTAGTCCTGGTTTAGTCCTGGTTTAGTCCTTTCAGTCCTGGTTTAGACCTGGTTTAGACCTGGTTTAGACCTGGTTCAGTCCTGGTTCAGTCCTGGTTTAGTCCTGTTTCAGTCCTTTTTTAGACCTGGTTTAGACCTGGTTTAGTCCTGGTTTAGTCCTGGTTTAGTCCTGGTTTAGTCCTGGTTTAGTCCTGGTTTAGTCCTGGTTTAGTCCTGGTTTAGTCCTGGTTTAGTCCTGGTTTAGTCCTGGTTTAGTCCTGGTTCAGACCTGGTTCAGTCCTGGTTCAGTCCTGGTTCAGTCCTGGTTTAGACCTAGGGTAGACCTGGTTTAGTCCTGGTTTAGTCCTGGTTTAGTCCTGGTTTAGTCCTGGTTTAGTCCTGGTTTAGTCCTGGTTTAGTCCTGGTTCAGACCTGGTTTAGTCCTGGTTTAGTCCTGTTTCAGTCCTGGTTTAGACCTGGTTTAGTCCTGTTTCAGTCCTGTTTCAGTCCTGTTTCAGTCCTGTTTCAGTCCTGTTTCAGTCCTGGTGTAGTCCTGGTGTAGTCCTGGTGTAGTCCTGGTGTAGTCCTGGTGTAGTCCTGGTGTAGACCTGGTTCAGACCTGGTTCAGACCTGGTTCAGACCTGGTTCAGACCTGGTTCAGACCTGGTTCAGACCTGGTTCAGACCTGGTTTAGTCCTGGTTTAGTCCTTGCTGACCCTTCTGTGTGTTCTTAGCGTGTGCTGAAGTGTCTGATGAAGAGGAGCTAGAGCCGACCTCCACAAAGGCCCAGAAAAACAAACGGACCAAGAGGACAGATGGTGAGTAAAACTGGTCCTGGTTTAGTCCTGGTTTAGTCCTGGTTTAGACCTGGTTTAGACCTGGTTCAGTCCTGGTGTTTAGACCTGGTTTAGACCTGGTTCAGTCCTGGTTCAGTCCTGGTGTTTAGACCTAGGGTAGACCTGGTTTAGTCCTGGTTTAGACGTGGTTTAGGCCTGGTTTAGACCTGGTTCAGTCCTGGTTCAGTCCTGGTTTAGTCCTGGTTTAGACCTAGGCTAGACCTGGTTTAGACCTGGTTTAGTCTTGGTTCAGACCTGGTTCAGACCTGGTTCAGTCCTGGTTCAGTCCTGGTTCAGTCCTGGTTCAGTCCTGGTTCAGTCCTGGTTCAGTCCTGGTTCAGTCCTGTTTCAGTCCTGGTTTAGACCTGGTTCAGTCCTGGTTTAGACCTGGTTTAGTCCTGGTTTAGACCTGGTTTAGACCTGGTTTAGACCTGGTTCAGTCCTGGTTCAGTCCTGGTTCAGTCCTGGTTCAGTCCTGGTTCAGTCCTGGTTCAGTCCTGTTTCAGTCCTGTTTCAGTCCTGGTTTAGACCTGGGGTTTAGACCTGGGGTTTAGACCTGGGGTTTAGACCTGGGGTTTAGACCTGGGGTTTAGACCTGGGGTTTAGACCTGGGGTTTAGACCTGGTTTAGTCCTGGTTCAGTCCTGGTTTAGACCTGGTCCAGACCTGGTCATCAGGATAAACATGTCTTTATGTGTCTTATTGTCTCCATCAGAAGCTTCTAGAAACCCAAAGAAACCCTGGAGTGAGGAGGAGAGCCGTGGAGAAGAGGATGGGGAAGTACCTGGCTCTGTGTGCTGTGCCTCACACAGGAGTCTGCAGCCCTCATCAACAGAACCTGGAAGGACCTCAAGTACTTTGTGTATAATACTATTATCCGACTCAAGAGGCAGCTTGTGTAGCTGGTATTTGTGTCAAACTCATTCCCAAAGCGCCGCAGTGGCTGCAGGTTTTCCATCAGACCAAGCAGGAGCAGAACAGACTCCTCCAATTTCCTCAGTGAGTTCAGTCTTAACCTGAAGGTTTGAGGAAATGGGAGGAGTCTGCTCTGCTCCTGCTTGGTCTGATGGAAAACCTGCAGCCACTGCGGCGCTTTAGGAATGAGTTTGACCGCCCTGCTTTAATGTTAAGTGCACAGTTATGTTTTAAAGTCCCGTTCAAGAGCACTTTGTATTAGGTCCTTTGTAATTGTCCTGTTGGGACAAGTCAAAATACAAAGATGCAAATAAACCTGTCTTTCAAATGTTTTGCTTTGTTTTATTAAAATTGCTGTGATCCCACATAATAATCTGTGTCCATTTGCACATGTGACCAACTATATAATTCTAAATAAACCTTCAAAGAGTTAAAAAAAGGTCTATTCATGATTTCTTTTGCAAATTTCACTTATTGTCCCCACTCTGATGGTTCAAAACGTTTTCTTAAATCTTGGTTCTAAAATTTTTTCAATGGAGTGTATAGCTCCGCAGCGCCGTCAAGTGTCTAGAAAGTGTTTTTTCTTCCTCCTAAAACATTGGGAAAGGCAAGTCCTCAGTTTTCATGTTTTTAACTACGACCTCACTTTGTGGGGTTTGCGGGAATGTGTGTGTTTGTGTGTGTGTGTTCTGGCGAATAAATAGAGACTGATTCTTGAATGTCTATTCAAGTCAGTGTGGTGCTATTGCAATAGCACCACACTGAGAGCGAGGGTCAGGGCAGATAGTAACATATGTGTGCACGTGTGTGTGTGCGCGCCCCGGACACGAGTGCACACACACACACACTTCAGCAACGAGCGCTGAGAAATGAATGAATGAGAATGAAAAGTGTGGAGCAAAGCGATGGGAGGCAGGGAAGTTACGTGTGTGTGTGTGTGTGTGTTCTGGTGATTAAATAAAGACTGATTCTTTAATGTCTGAAGTGTTACTGCGATAGCACCACTGAGAGCAGGGTCAGGACAGAGGGAGTTATACTCGTAGTAAACACTTTTCTTTGGCCTTGCAGCCACACACTCCCTGTGCCCCTCGGTCTGGGGCTATATGAAAGGTTTAACAGAAGCGGAGAATATAAGAAAGTGCAGGAGAGACGTGTGTGAAAATGCGCGTTAGGACCTACAACACACACATCAGGTCAGAGTGAGATATTAGGACTTATAACACACACATCAGGTCTGAGTGAGATATTAGGACCTACAACACACACATCAGGTCAGAGTGAGATATTAGGACTTATAACACACACATCAGGTCTGAGTGAGATATTAGGACCTACAACACACACATCAGGTCTGAGTGAGATATTAGGACCTACAACACACACATCAGGTCTGAGTGAGATACCAGGACCTACAACACACACAACAGGTCTGAGTGAGATATTAGGACCTACAACACACACATCAGGTCTGAGTGAGATATTAGGACCGACAACACACACATCAGGTCTGAGTGACATATTAGGACCTACAACACACACATCAGGTCTGAGTGAGATATTAGGACCTACAACACACACATCAGGTCTGAGTGAGATATTAGGACCTACAACACACACATCAGATCTGAGTGAGATATCAGGACCTACAACACACACATCAGGTCTGAGTGAGATATTAGGACCTACAACACACACATCAGGTCTGAGTGAGATATTAGGACCGACAACACACATATCAGGTCTGAGTGACATATTAGGACCTACAGTATAACAAGCACTTCAGGTCTGAGTGAAATATTTATCAATCATTACTCCTTTCACGGAGAGTAACTCTGTAGATGGACAAATACATTATAACTTTAATGTAGAATTATTTATTTTTATACATTGTGTTTGTAATTTTTGACACCTCACTTTTATATTTGTTTTTGATGTTTTAAATTCTAATTTAAACATGATTTTCCAACTGGAGTTAAGACAATTTTTCAGGGAGATAATCTACTGACACAAGGAGAACATGCAAGCTCCACTCCAAAAGGCCCCTTCTGGCTGAAAGTTTTTTTTTTTTTTTTTTTTTTTTACAAACACACACTCACTACTCAAGTATCTTTTTAAATTACCATGAGTCAATATTTTGGCTATTCTACCCACCTCTGGGAATGTATTTAAGTTTGTGACAAAATAGGTGACATGAGGACAAGTGTGTGTGTGTTAAAAGTGTGTTAAGGTAGTACCGTGCACGACCAGAGAGGCGCTTCAAACTTTTTGGGACGGAGTGTTTCGGCCCCGACACACATTTTCACTATTTGTAGACATTTTGGGACATGCTTGATTTTTGGTGTGGAGCTTGTTCTGGGCCTCTACAACACTGTAGTATGCATGGAAAAATGGGGACCTGAAAAAAGTCCTCACATTTCCTCAGGTCCTGATATTGAAGGTGTGTTATCATACAAAAGTCCTCATATGTCCACAAAACACACACACACACACACACACACACACACACACACACACACACACACACACACACACACACACACACACACACACACACACACACACACACACACACACACACACACACACACACACACACACACACACACACACACACACACACACACACACACACAGGAGGCTGCTTGTTGCTCAGTTGTGCGTGAGATCTTGAACACTGAGAAGCTCTTATCGGAGCAGAACATTCTGGGAGTTCTCACACCAGTGAGCAGCACATGTCTATGACCGAGGAAAAGCTTTCAGACGCTTCTGTGCTCCAACTGCAATGCACCCAACGACCACCAGGGGGCAGCAAAGAACACAACCCCCTGTCCCCATAACGTTCCGATAACGCCTCCATAAGGTCCCCATAACGTCGCTTAAATACATCCCTATAAGGTCCCCATAACTTCCGCATAAGGTCCCCATAAGGTCCCCATATCGTCCCCATAGACTGGAAACTGCCGCTAGGACCAGTGGGAAGAGGCTGTAGATCCAGGACTGAAGCTGTAGACCCAGGACTGAGGCTGTAGATCCAGGACTGAGGCTGTAGATCCAGGACTGAGGCTGTAGACCCAGGACTGAGGCTGTATATATCCAAGACTGAGGTTGTAGACCCAGGACTGAGACTGTAGATCCAGGACTGAGGCTGTAGATCCAGGACTGAGGCTGTAGACCCAGGACTGAGGCTGTATATATCCAAGACTGAGGCTGTAGATCCAGGACTGAGGCTGTAGACCCAGGACTGAGGCTGTAGATCCAGGACTGAGGCTGTAGATCCAGGACTGAGGCTGCAGACCCAGGACTGAGGCTGTAGATCCAGGACTGAGGCTGTAGACCCAGGACTGAGGCTGTAGATCCAGGACTGAGGCTGTATAGATCCAAGACTGAGGCTGTATAGATCCAGGACTGAGGCTGCAGACCCAGAACTGAGGCTGTATAAGACTGAGGTTGTAGACCCAGGACTGAGACTGTAGATCCAGGACTGAGGCTGTAGACCCAGGACTGAGGCTGTGGATCCAAGACTGAGGCTGTAGACCCAGGACTGAGGCTGTAGACCCAGAACGGGACAGCAGGTGAACAGAAATGAACAGACTACAGCTGAAGTTAAGAAATGTTAGACTTGTTGTGGACCTAATGAGTCGCAGGTCATTGTTCTGCTCCTGACCTCGGATCAGACCTGAAAGAAAACAGTCACATGTGTCTAAACAGAACACAGGATCGATGAGAGCAGCAGGAGAGAGTGTGTGTGTGTCTGTGAGTGTGTGTTTGGTGTGTGTGTGGATGTTTTCAGTGTGTGTGTGTGTGTGTGTGTGTGTGTCTGTGGTCTGTATGTGTGTGTGTCAGTGTCTCTCTGTATGTGTGTGTGTGTGTGTGTCTGGGTCTCTGTATGTGTGTGTGCGTGTATTCATGGAGAGAGGGAGGGGTAGTGTTCCGTCGCCTCCCCTCTCTTGCTCTCCCTCTCTCTCCCCACCCCCCTTTCACTCTCTCTCTCCCTCTCTCCCCCCCTCTCTCTCTCTCCCTCTCTCTCTCTTCCTCTCTCTCTCTCTCTCCTCTCTCTCTCTCTTCCTCTCTCCTCTCTCTCTCTCTCTCTCTCTCCCTCTCTCTCTCTCTCTCTCTCCCTCTCTCTCTCTCTCTCTCTTCCTCTCTCCCTCTCTCTCTCTCTCTCCCTCGCTCTCTCGCTCTCTCTCTCTCTCTCTCTTCCTCTGTTTCTCGCTGATGGCCACTGCTCTCAGAGGATCAGGATCTCTGGTCTTATCCGCATCATTTGTGGATGGACAGACGGCTTCACAGACGGAGGAGACCGGACTCAGATAAAGTAAGTCCTCTGTGCTTTTAGATCCTGTACCTGTGTCTGTGAGAGAGAGCAGCTCACAGGGACAGGTTTCTCTCAGCCCAAACATATAGCACAGGTTCATTTGTTTATTTATCTGCAGAGTGTTTGTCTTGGAGCAGGGAGGTCGGCAGCACGACACGGAACACATGCACTGAACAGAATCGCACAATCACTCTGGTGTTTAACAGTTAGATGAGACACTAAAGTTAAACTTGTTGCTTTTGCACCGTCTCCCAGAATGCATCAGGTCATAGTGAGAGTGTGAGAGCGTAGGACATGGGTCTCTGATGTTCTGAGTGTTATGTTTGTGGATTTGAGTGTATCATTGTACCTGTTTTTTACTAATGCTAACTGGGTCATTCTATTTATGTACTACTTCTTCTACATACTGTAATGTAATGTCTGGGTCCTATAGCGTCCTACAGATAGTAAACCTGCTGTACTGGTCTTATAGCATCCTATAAATAGTAAAACAACTGTAATGTGGTTATAGCGTCCTACAGATAGTAAACTGGATGTAGTAGTAAGTAGTCTTTGTTTATATTGCGTCTTTCACAGCCCAGAGTCAGAAAGCACTTTATAATTGTTGAGGGCATTTGTCCCTC